ATACGCATTATCGACCTCGGCAGCGCCAGTGGTAATTGACGAGCAAGTGCCAGACAAAACATCACACATCTTCATGCCCTGGACGGTATCCCCGGCATTCTGAGCCTGAATAGCGGAGACATCGAAACCCGACCAATCGCTATTAGTCGAAGAGCCGAAATCAAACTCTCCCCAGGTACACGTATACCCGCCACTGCTACCCCCCGTGGGGAGACTGCTGCCCTGGGCGGCGCCGAACCCACCCTGGGAATCCGAGTCGAACGCGACGTACTTGGTATCGCCGGCGGCGAGGGTCAGACTCAGGGCGGAGTAGCCGTACCAGCCGTCCATGGAGCCGTCGGGACCGTACTTGTTCCAGAACACCACGGTCCAGTCGTCCTCGTTCTGTCCGGAGATCTGCATCACGTACTGGTAGTTCGAGGCGTCGGACTCGGATACCTCGATGATGTTGCTGCCCCACGGGTTGCCCACATTGCCTTCGTAGGTGTCCCCGCTGCCGCTCGACGAGGTGCTCGCGCCGAACCCGGACGTCGAGTAGTCGCCGCTGCTGGGCGTCGAGGTCCAGCTGCTGCCGCTGGAGGTCGAGGTTCCGGAGGAGGAGGAGGAGGAGGAGGCGGCGGCGGGGGAGGAGGAGATGGTTGCTGAGGCGGAGGCAGAGGCCGACACGCCGCCGCCGTCACTGCCGCCGATGGAGATGCTCCCGCTGCCGCTGGCGCTTCCGCTGGCGGACCATTGGCGGCGGGCGGGAGCGGGGGCGGAGAGGCCGGTGGTGGAGAGGGCGGCCAGGAGGAGGAGGGGGTTGGTGAAATGCATCTTTGCGTTTGTTGTGAGGGAGTGTGTGTTGTTTTGTTTTGTTTGAGAGAGTGTGTGAAGGAGAGAAAAGGTAAGGAGTGGAGGTTGCACGGGCAGTCAAGCTCGGCTGGTTAGGTTAAAGAGTGTGGGATAGTTGGGCTGGATGCAGTTGCAGATGCAGTTGCTTGCTGGAGGAGGAGGGGATGAGAGGAAGGGGGCAGGGAAGGGTTCTATATAGCCATTCTGGAGACGCCACAGCTTGGCTTCAGACGCCTCTCGACCCTGGATTTGATGGATGCGTCGAGAACGCAGATGGAACGGAGTGCGTCAGCCTGGTTGCCATGGTTTGGGGGTGGGTTTGTATGCGGTGGTGGGGGGATGGCAGTGGGAGGTTGACGCAGGGCACACGCTAGAAGGCTGGATGGAAGGAAGAAAGCAGGAAGGCAAAGTATGCCGATTGGCTGGGGGGATTGAATTTGTACAGCGTCATCCACTGGCCAAGTGTCTGGATGGTGGTCTGTGGGTTAGGGTTTGGGTGCCAGGGCATGGCGGTGGGACGGACGGGCCTGTCTGGGAGGGGGGGACATGGGCTTGGTTTCAGATGTGGTGATTGTCAGTGATTGACTGCAGATGGGGTGGATATGACTGGTTTGGGTCTTCGGGCTCGTCTGTTTTTCTCGACTTGGGGGGGAGGGAGGGCGTTTCAGGGTCGGCATGCAATGGGTGTTTTCATTCAGAATCTGCTGAGTCAAGCGGGGCACAAGAGAAGGGTGCAAATCTAGACTGTGATGCTGAGGGAAATGTATTGCCTACTCGGGCTCGGTGGACCTGCGCAGTGTCTTACTAGTGCCTCCACTACGCGCTTTCGTTGATGTGGATTCGAGTTCTGGATAGTGTGTACGGTGTGCTTTCTTTGGATGCGTTCTTTTTATAGTACCCTCCCTTGTATGTTCAACACTCGTCTGTATATTTAATCTCCATGCACTTGATCGCATAACCCCCAGCATCCAACATGCTCAACATACAAAGCGCTCAACCCCAAGATCAGGGATGAAACACACAATGAAGAAGAGACCAGAAAACGACGCATCCATGAATCCGGGCCTGCGAACCCTGGGCTCCGCCTCTGGGCCAGGGGGGCGACCCCAATGAAGGCACGCTGTGGTTCCGGGTCAAGACGCAGCGTCGGCGCTGATTGGGCGGTGCTTTGATAAGTCCAGGAGAACATCCGAAGCGGCCAATGGCAATGCAGTCGCTTGCAAGAAACCAGCGCGGACAACGGCCATTGGCTGCCGAACCATGGGTCGCCCGCCTGCGTTTCCCAAACGGGCCATCCGGCTGCTCTTGGCGGGGCAGGCACGCGTCGTCGGGCCTGCGGTTGGCTCGGGCGAGAGATGCGTGCCTGGCGACCCAAAGAGGTTTTTTGCGCAATCCCATGGGAGATGCGCGGTAGGGCTGCTCGGAAGGGAAGGGAGTGAGCGTGGAGTCCGAAAGGGGAATGTACACGATAGTACTATGTTGTACTCCGTACTTGTATGGGTTCGGCCAAGAAGAAGCACCGGTGGAGAACCCACTTGCCAATGCCATTAGCCGCCAGCTTGCAAATCTTCTCTCCACAGCGCCCTTCTGGACGAACCTTCTGGAGTAGCCCACTTGCGTTAGAATTGAGTTTTTGCGCTTACGTGCCCGCTTGAGTCGAGCCCTTGCAGCGGGAATTGTCGCGGTTGGCGATTGGGTTCAGCCACACACTCAGAGTCTGCGTTTTTGCTAAGGTAGCAAAACCCATGTCCATCTCTGCGGAACAGGTCGGAGTTGTGCCGCGATGGGGGTTGTCCTGTGCTGTGACAGCAGTGCTGTGGAGCTGCGTGACACAGCTAGTACGTATCTAGTGTGACCCGGCAACTGGGGCTGTTCTAGATCCCATTCGACCGGCATCGTCAGCAGGAGCCTGTCGCGTAGATGCTGCTCGGAAGCATCGCATGCCTGATAGTCTTCATGCGCGGAGCACCGCCAACTTTTCGTTCTGACTGGGTTCGGGCAGCGTGGCAGGTGGAAGCTCTTGTCGCCACAAAAACATTAAACAATTACTCCATCGGTAGAGAACCTGGAGCAAGCTCTTTTGAGTTGGATATTGACTCAGAAGCCGGGTGTGACTTGGTCAATGTGAAGTTTATATCCAAGTCCGGTTCCGTTGACATCCGACGGCCATGCTTTTCCAAGTAGGTCTGGAGCCAATTACTCAGCAGTGAGCGATATTGGCAACAACTCATGGCTTGGTGTTTGGTGTCACCTGCTGTATGGGGAACCGGGTGAAGGTCGTGATATCATGGTCGTGCTGCTTGGTACGTATAGTACATAGTCTGGAGTAGCTAGGGCTTTCCGATGCTGCGTCATCTGCAACTGCCAAGGTGCTTCGATGACAATTCCACTCCAGATGGCTATTACGTGATCGTGTGGCAGCCATGCTGTAGCTCCAGCATGTAGCGAGTTTTGGCTATGTCGTGATATGCTAGAGCCAGGTTGTACATCGAGCTTCAGCTACCAGGTAGCTGGCAGCTCGTGCTGTCTTAGCAGCACAGAATGTCATCAGCAGCAACCCCGTCCATCTTATCTAATGAGATGTCAGCATTCAGTTTCTAGAACCTCGGTAACAGCGTAGGCCTCTTCTCACTCATCGCATGAGCACTCACTCCCAGCCACAGCATCTCACAAGCACCACAGAATGACCTGCAGTGTATCCAACCCACCCCAGTGCTGATCACCTTACCCCCGACCACTCACCTAGCAACTCAGCAGCATCATATCTACACCATCCCAACCTCAATCCTAACCTACAGCCCCGCAACCTCAGCCCCAACTACATCACACCAAAACACCAAAACAGTCGAGATAACCACAAACCCAAATACATTAATAATCGCACTAAGAACAACCATCCCAACCCATTTTCATAAGCCCAAGAAGTAAATTTCAACGCCTACTCCCTCTGGAGAAGCACCAACAACCCCATCACCCCCAACATGACCGTCTTCAGCCACGGATGCTCGGACAGGAGAATGGTGACATAGCCCACAAACGGAATATACCCGAACACACTGCCCACGATATCATCGCGATCCAAATAGTCCTGTCCGCGCGCGTAGAGCTCCGTGTCATCCGCGATATTGTTGTCGCCTTTCGTGAGGAGTTTCGAATCAGACCTGTTCCAGAGACAACGTAAGTTAGCTGGCCGTTGTACTTTCCCCGCATTTCACAGAAACAAAAAAGAGCATACCCGCTGCCAAACTGCCGCACCACGCGATGCACAATCGGTATCTCCTTATCCTTGACCTGGTAGACGACGATCTCGCCGATGTTCAGCGAGGCCTGGTTGTTGCGGAGGAAGAGAAGGTCGCCGCGCTGGAAGGCGGGTTCCATGGAGCCACTGAGGACGACGACAATGGGACTGGGGGAGCTGGTGAGGACGGAGAGACCCTTCCACATCTATTGTTGGGTTGATTGCACGTGTTAGCGATAGCTTCCGGGGGGGGGGGTTGGTGGTGGTGGTGATGGTAGTGCTTGGGGTGGGGGCCTGCGACGTACCATGAACGCGGTGCTCAGGACCAGCCCGAAGTTGAGGATCTGGACGGCGGTTTGCCGCACATTTTGGATTCCGGACAGCATGGTTGCGATGAGGATGTTGTTGTGGTTGCTGGGATGATCATAGGTGGCCTTGAGTTGCGCCGCGGTGATGCTCATGTCAGCAGCGGAGGCAGTCACGTGGGAGGTCGCAGCGGGAAGGGGCTTAGTGCGGGCAGCTGTCTGTCTGCGGGCTAGCCGGATGGGGCAAGGTGGTGTGGTGGGACCTACAAACACTCACACCCTCCTGGGGTGTCGGGACTGCATACAGCTGAAGAAGATGTCTCGAAAATGGACCCACGCTACTTGCAGGGCTAGCAGCAGTATATGTAACTTCTATTAGTTAAAGAATTTGCCAGCAGAATCTCTATCTATAATAAAACTATAATAAGTTGTATCTAATTATTATGCATTCACTGGACTTACTCTTGTTCTATTTTACTCTTAGGTTAGACCTACTCTAGCTTTCTTCTTATATAAGTCTAGTCCCACCTTATTCTCACCCACTTCACACAATTATAAAGGGTTTTCACCTGCTATTTTTGCCAGTAAATGATTAGCAATAACAGAATCACTAAGTGAATAAGTATGGTAAGATGGCCGAGTGGTTTAAGGCGGCAGATTTAAGCGTCTTGGCATTTCCAAGATCCCTGCTGACGAAAGTCGCCTGGGTTCGAACCCCAGTCTTACCAAATTTTTCGTGTCTATCTTGAGATGGACACCTTTTTTTTTATTCAAGTGTAATAATACCGAAGACCCTGTATATATGGTCTTTTCTCCATTTTTCGGGTTGAAATCCTTCATAGAAGAGATAAAACATGGTAGCCATGCATAAGAACATGGGTTCGATGAAGTTTTGCTGGCGGGGTCGGAGAATGATGGATAATGAGGCAGGAGAGGAGAAGTGGAGAGGGCTCACGAGGGCGGAGCTGGTACTCGGACGAACCACCAAAGGCAGGACTTCGGAGGTTGTCTGGATTCTATCTTACTGTACTGAGCAAGCACTCGACATTGTTATTCTACAAGTCAGAATCAGAACACCATGCAAATGAATAAATCAAAAACCAATATTAATTAAATTAAAAGAATCATTAGATTCTGCCGACTAGATAACTAATAATGACGCGAAGCGTTAAGATCTTAAGGGTTTTTGGTATCCATCAGTCTGACTACATGCACGAAGTCCAGTCATCCCTTGTCTACCAGAATATCTTGCGCGGCCCATCAACATAGCTCCAATAATCAACCCTGAAACCTGCAGTTTTCCTTCCCTGGCCACCTAGGTAGCAGTGATGCAGAAGATGAGTAGTGCTGGAACCCAGGCGCAGTGCTTCATATCCCCTGCTAAACAGGGTAGGGCAACCTATTTTGCAGCTTTTTTGTCATAAGGCTGATCAGGCTCAGGCTCGGGCTCACTTTTGTCTGCTCTTGTGCGCTTCGCTGCAGTAGGTGGTATAACCTTGGACCGTGAACCGTCATCCAGGATATAGGCACCCCCCAAGAAGAATTTCAAGTCCTCAGCAACAGTAACATGGGTTGGGTTGATGTAGATATGGCGTCTGCATCGGGGTTTCAGAGCATTAATTGTAGCCCCGTCTAACCACTCAACCAGGCTGTTTGCTTTGAAAATGGCTTTTAGGGAGGTTTGCGGTGATGTCGGGTAGAGAACTTTTTGGACTCCCTTTTCGTCCTTCAAAGTTACCCGAAAAGCCAAACGGCATGTCGGGTCGTCCATTGTTTCAGACACAGGAAAGACATTGGGATGTCATTCTCCAAGCGGTGCGAAGCTCGGCTTGGACTATGATCCCATCCTTGTTATCCTTGGTGTAGAAGCCTTGAATTCTGATCCGAGTAAAAAATAGACGAATAAATCAACGCCATATATTTTTCCTCCTGTGGCTGGACTACCAAATATGCCCTTCATAAAGGCGGCCATTTAGTAGGCTGTCTGGATCTCTTGTTTTGACAGCTCTCCGTAGGCGGCATCACGCCGAGCTGCAGATGCCTGCTTCCTGCTACTGTTATCACTGGCATACCTGGACACTCGTGTGACTTCAACCTGGAAGTTTCTGCTCTGGGAAGACAGTAACCCTAGCCCTGTCTCTTCCAGGTCGTCCCTTTTGCCTGCAGTAATTGTCTCACTGAGTTCCTCAATAACCAGTGCGCTGCCAGTGTCCGACTCATCATCGCTCTCCTAAGCTTCATGGTTTTTTGGAGATTTAGAACTTGCAGAAACTCTTCTGCTCCCCAAAGGCTTATTGCTCTTAGGGGATGCATCATCAATTGAGTCGCCAGGACCTGAAGAAGGGGTCTGAGCTTCCCTGCGCCATTTTTCCTGCATCTCATCATAGAGATCTCTCATCTCTTGGAGCTTCTCCACGGGGAAGACAGGTGAACGGTTTCTTGTGTCCATCTTCAGCTGTATCTTGGCAGTTGACATGGGTATACCCTTGGGCTTTCCCGGCAAACATGCCAAAAGCTGAAAGGTAGATGTTGCAAACGACCCTCCAACGGCCTCAAGACGCTCAGGGAAGCTCTTATCCGAAAACCCTTGGATAAAGCCAGGCACGAATACCATAATGATCAACAGAGTCTGCGGTTATCATCTGCGTGTCTCTTCCATCCCGTTCATCGCAGTAGAGCTTGATTATTTGTAGACGCACCAGTGTTCGCTCGAAGAATGTAGTATTTATAGTGCTCACGAACCCTGCCCCAAGCGCATTGAATCCGAATATTTCGCACCATTGAACCACCTGCCTTCCAGCGTTTGCCCAAAACATAGACAGTGGCCTTGGTGCGTGGATATAGACCCGCTTTATGCAAGCTTCATTGGCTTTTCTTATAGCATCAGCTTCGTCCAATCTCATCTGCTTGAAGGAAAGAGATGTCGATACTTTGATTATTTCCTGGGTGAATGTAAAAGACCAGGTATTCAGAGAATCCGCTTTCCTTGATACCCCAAGAGATTGTACATTCGCCGACCGCACCATATGACAAGTAGTTTGCTGTCTGTAAGATAACTATGCTGGTCCAAAGTTATCCCAACCTGGGCCTTAAGAGTACCTCTAGGCTTAACAACCTCTTGGGACGCTCTAACAGCATCTTTAACTACATGTTAGCAAAGATCCATGTCGAATGGTTTCATGAGCAAAGCTGTAGTATCCATGGGCTCTGAAACATAGATCCCAAGTTGTGCACTTGCAGCTGATGTCAAGATTTCCAGGTATTCATGGCGCTTGAAGGAGTTGCCAGTCCGGTATTGAGATAATAGCTGGGCTTTTACCGTCGCTTCGATCGGTATTGTGGCCATGCCCCCTGATCTCCATGTCTGGCGATTCCTCTCATTTGATTGAGCAGGTGCATCTGACATGTGGGCTAAGCGAGACTCTCTGAAGAAGTGGTAAAATGACATTCAGGCCGGTGCTAGAGTATCCTGCACGACCAAAGTATTCTTCAAGGACCCTTGCAGCTCTGGCTGTACTGACTCGTATGTAGGCCGTGGCTTTGCTAGCTCTGGCACCGGCTGATCAAGACCATCAAATTCAAAGTTATTAGTCCAGATAGATCCACCATGATTGGAAGGCTCCGGCACAGGGTAATCAGTACCCCGGTCATTGATTGATTTATCATAATCCCATGGTTCCTCCCTCCGAACATTGTCCCTCCCCTCGTTCTTTGTTATTTCGTACGCCTAAGAAATGACCACAATGTAGGTCTTTGTCAATAGGTTTGTGGAGCTCTTCGCAGTGTCGGAATCCACGGGGATACGAAGAAAGGTCTTTGGTGAGAGGAGCCGGCTAGCGTGCTGAGGTTCTTGCGTATATATAGTTGGGTTAGGGGAGTGAGGTTTGGTTGGAGACCATTTTGAACTCGAGATTCAGAATCTAACGCATGGAATTTAAGTGATCAAAGTCCTGTACGCGTACGTAGTGGTGGTAGGAATGGAGGCGAGGCCTCTAGAAGAGGCTCATATCAAGAAGTAGGGAGGTGGAAGAGGACTCATAACTTGTCAAGACTGTATGGAGTCTAGTAGGGAATGGAAGCTCGAGGAGGATGTAGTAGGTTGGTGGTTGGTAGGTGGAGGAAGTCTGAAGCTATCGAGGGGGCTATAAATAGTGGTGTGGGTGGGTGGGGTGATTAAGCCCTACATGCATTCACCAACAAAGGGGAAGAGGAAAGTGTAGAGTGAAAAGCAAATTGATGAGCTCATTCCCTATAAATTGCACACCTTCTTGTTCCAGTTAATCACTCAATCCTGCAATCAGAACCACAAAGGAAGCCGAACCTACAAACCAGATCCACCTAGCTCACAATCTAAGCCTCTGCGCCACAGTAAGCTAGACACTGGGTCTTATCTCACCCCAAAAACAAATCAAACTAATGGGATCTGAAAGCCAAGTCCTGCAACAACCTCATCGGACTCCGGTGTGTTGCCCGTCCCATGTGTGCCATTGCCGCTTTCCCCATTTGCTTCCAGCCGGAAGATCCGATCAGTGGTTTCAGGGCGTCTTTTTCTCCGTTTCATATTTCCTTTTAAATAGGACATGCGAATGACCAATAGAATTAGAATTCTGTGTTGAATGATGGGGTCCAAACTGACCGTGCACAAGGGAGCATCCATAGTCCATACTGTAGTAGTGTGGGGCGGACGGGAGAAGCCTTCCGGTCGAGGCCCGGCCCTAACTGATCCACTCGGCATCGTTCATTCCGCTGACTGTGATCCCTATTATCCGTCTGTTCCGAGAGCAAGAATTGCGTGATCGTGGGGAAATCTTCGGTTTCTATGTTTCAAGAGTGATGTGTTGTCGAAACAGCTATGTTACATGTCTGAGGGGGTAAACATTGGTGGGATATCCAAAATTAACATCCCCGAAGCCGAAGTTCAGAAACACCCATGATGAAAGCAAGTCGAAACCTGTCATCTGCGATTTACAGCATTATGTGCTTTTGATTCGATATTCCAGAAAGTGGTAGAATGACCCCAAGCTTTAAAATCAAAAGTCATGGAAATCGACGTTCGCCAATTTGCAACCAAGACACTTCCCAACCGAAATGTCTCATAAAGCCACAGAAGTTAAGCATGCGTCTGGACCGTCAGTGTGCCATTCAGCTTGAAATCCCGCGAACTGGCGCCAACATGCACCGTATACTGTCCGGCCGCGACCAGCCACTTCTATGACACCACATCCCAGTATGAAATATTCCGACGGCGCAATGGGAAGGTGGCAACAGTCTCCTGTCCCGTCGTCAGTTCCACGCGTTCAAATCCTCGAAGTTGCCGGACCGGTTGTTGCGCGGACTCGGGGAATCCCAGGTATAGCTGTGGCACGGCGGCGCCATTCACTGAGCCCATGTTCTTTACAGTGACAGAGATGTTCGTTACCGTGTCCCAGAGGTCACTGTAGCCGCCAACAGTTCGGTGGCCACTTGGAGCGACAGACAGGTGGGGCGACTGTGAGATCGTGAGGTCTGAGTACGAGAACGAGGTGTATGAGAGCCCGTGGCCGAAGGGGTAGCGGGGGGTGATATCTTGGGAATCGAAGTATCGGTAATCGATATAAACGCCTGCACGGAAATCTTAGTCTTATGGTCTTGAGTGAGCTGACATTTGCATCTTCTTACCTTCTGTAAAGTTGCACTGAGAGGTATAACAGATTCCGACATTATAATCGCTTTCGTTTTTAGGAATGGT